CCAGTGACGACAACTCACCAAAGTAGGATGGACGGCATTGCTTTTATGGACTCTTCTACCAGCTGGACCTGGTGTCCCTGACTCTCCTTTCTCTAGAACGGCGCAGTGCCGTTCCATTTGCCTTCCTGCCCCTGTCCAGCTTGTGTGTCCATGCATCCATCTGCAGTGCTCCCCGACGCCCCTTCTCTCCCCAGCTCTTTGGGCTGTGGAGACTGAGGTCGGTCACCAGGGCTACCAGCGGTGCTCTGTCTCAGCCTGTGTGGAGAGCCACGTACTTCCCCAAGCCCCACCTGCTGCCAGGGTGCTGCCAGGAGAAGTGGTGGGGATTACTCAGCGCACAATGGGCTCTCACGAGGGGAATTGGCAGTGTTTTCCATTTGTTCTCTAGACCGAGACGAGACGGATGGTTGCTCAGTCTGAGCCACAGTTTCCTGAACATGCTTGATTTTTCCAGGCTGACAAGGGACTCTTGCGACCCAAGCTCTGAGCCCGTCATGCTGGATGACCTTGAGCCAGCCCCTCCTGGGAGTCCCCCATTAGCCTAAGGAAGAAACTCCAAGAGTCAGCTATGGTAGAGTGGGTCTACCATCTCACTGGCGCTTATGGCAGGAATGACGAAAGTGCAGGCTCACTGACTCGCTCTGAATTTGAGTTGCTGCCAGAATTCAACCCCCACCCCACTCCCCAGCCCCCCAGGTAGCCACCCCAAACCATCTCTGATCTAAAGTCCCCCCAGACTCTCAGGCCTTCTGCCCTCACTTGACTGACAACCCCTTCCCACCCCTCACCATCTGAAAAGGCATGGTGCCAACTCTATACCCCCTTGCACCTCGCAGAAGGCTCTCTCCTTTTACCACCCCACCCCTGCCCTGACACTTCCTAGCTGTGGGGCATTAGCAGATTTCTCAACCGCTCCAAGCCTCGGTTTTGCCATCTGTAAAGTGGGGCTGAGTCCTGCCCTACGCACAAAGTGTGGGAATGTGCCCACTCCGGGAGCTACTCAGTAAGCACTGGGCTGGTCCCTTGCTGGGCTGCTCCTGGCTCTGCAACGCAAACCAAATGAAGATTGTAACAGAGGGCAGAGAGAAAAGGACACAATGGCCTCTCTTGATGAACCTGTTTATTACAGCCCTTCAGCCACCCCCATCCAACCTATGCTTTCTGGTGGTGAGAGCATCCCGTGCCCCTGCTGAGAACAGGGCCAACATACTGTTAGTTTGTAAACCAGGACTGGGGCTCTGCCTCACGCTCAGGCCAGAGCAGAGGATTCTGGGAAGGAAGGATACAGAAACGTACCAAGACCCTGGAAGTCAAGCTAGGCCAGGATTCCTCCTGAAGCCCCTCTGGGTCTGTGAGCCAGGCTTTCTGCTCCGTCTTCTGGAGGCAGCGCCCACAACCCCCATGGACAAGCCAGGCCCTTCCAACCTGACAGCAGGGTCCAAGAACAGTGAAACAAGAAATGAAAACACCCTAAATGTCTTAAAAATCAACTTAAAACTACGGCCCCCACTGAGCCAGCAGTGAGCAAGTGAAGCTTTGATGGTGGACACATCTGTGCCCCCGGCTGCCCTCTACTACAGGGTCTCCAGAGCGCGGGAAGAAGGCCGTCAGGGTTGGAGTGGTGTCCTCAGAGGGTCCCAGTGTGGGACACTGAGGATTGTAAACATGACCCAGCAAGAGGGCCAGGGTACCCCAAACCCCAGATCCTCCTTGGCCAAGTGGGCACTGTGGTGAGAGCAGAGCAGTCAGACCCGTCAGCCGCTGGGCCTCAGTCTCCCCATCAGAAACAAGGGATGGGGGACTCTGTGGTCTGTGGGGGGTGTGTGGGCGGGGAGAGAGAGAGCTCTAGAAGCCATATAGGCTTTGGGTGCCTGTGTTTCCACGACTGGGTCAGCACCTGGGCCTTTTCTGGCATTGAAATTAGCCTCAGCTGCTCCTCCCTGGATGATCCTGTCAGTAAGCCCTGGGGAGCCAACTCAGGCCACAGCCACCAGACTGCCCAGCTGGGTCAGGAGGAAGTAGGGCAGCTCCCTGGGAGGCCCCACCCCAAGCTGGGCAGAAGAGGGATGTGACTGAAGGACTTTGTCAGGAAAGTTGTGGGAGGTCCCATGCGGACACAGACATGGCCTGCCAGGTACACCTGCTCAGGCCAAGGGGGACATGGGGGTGGGGCGGGTCTGGGTGAAGTCCAGACTCCGCTCCACTCGGGAGCCTGGCCACAAGGCCATCTCAACGTACCGTTCACACCCCAAAACCTGGACCTGCCCATGGTTGAGGCCTCTTGGCACTCCTTCAGCGCCCGATACTGCTGCTGAAGACAGGCCAACTTCTGGCTTGGGGCCGGGGCCAGAAGAAGTCAGGCACCTCCAGGGTCAGGGCGGTCCAGCCGCATTCTCCTAATCAAGCTGGTCAGCCAGGTAGTCACCAATTATGAGCCTTTGGTGGGTAATCGGAGCCATGTAGCCCGGCACCCTTGGGGCCCTCCGCCAGCCCCTCAGCCACGTGGGAGCTCATGCCCACCTGGCTTCTCTTCAGATCCGACCCCCATGGGCCCCTTAGGCACGCCACGTGCCCTCCCAATCCAGCACTTTTCTCAGAGTCCAGGCTGCTGGGCCACCTCCGCGCTGGCCTTGACCACGTCCCAGGGGGGACCAGCCCCACGGTCTCTCAGGGCTGGGCCCGGTTGCGGAGCCACTGACCCCGCAGCGCCTGGACCTCCTGGCCATACCACTCGTGCAGCCGCGCGAAGGAGGCCCGGTCCAGGGGCTCCCTGGGCGCCGAGGGCCGCCGGCGGGGCGGC